AAAAAAAAAAAAAAAAAAATTGTAACAATCCCTTAAATTTGTAAAAATTATATAACTCATTATATTTTATATAATGTATTTAGTGATTTATATATAAGAAAAATAATTTATAATTATGTTGTTTATTTTGATAAGTAATCAAATTTAATAAATTTTATATGCCCGTAATATAAATTGTAACGTTAATATTCATATATATGACTTATAATATTTTATTTGCCTTGTGTTTTTTTCCCCATTTTTATGTGGCAAAATAAGTTAAATATGAAGGAACTCCATTCAATAATGGTGGGCTATTGTTCCTTTCCAGTTAGGTTTGTTTATTGGGTTTAAGAAAATCAAACACCGTGGAAGTGCCTGTCTATGCATTATGGATCTTTTTGTGCGGGGACCCCTGCAATTAGTTTCCACCGGGAATAAAATGACAACTTTTTAATATTCTGCTTACATATGGATTTTATTTATTTTTTATTTAAATTGTGAAAAGGACACCATTTTCCCTCGTGAGGTATTTAGTTAAAAGGGAAATGCTAAGGTCTCGTTACCGAGTTATTCCGTCGAAGTTTGTAACCGTTAGATCATCATGTAATCGTCAGAGATAATTGATCTAACGGTTACAAATCCCTTCCTTAGATAAATATAAAAAGGATGGATTTTAGTTCTTATATTTGCAGTGAAAATGAACTCCAAAACTTCAATTCATTGTGAAACCTGCCAAATACTAAAAAAGGTGATGTCATGCAACATATGTCTATTTATATGTCACATGCGCAATAGACTAGAAACACGGTAAATGTTCTAATAAAGCACGATGTTTTATCTATACGGACTAATTTAAAATGTAAAAAAAATGAATTAAAAAGCATTAAAATTTCGCAAATATGATTATAAAGTACGTAATGCAAAGAACTGGCGTTTAATTTCACAAATTATGGATTTATATACATTGATATAGCCCCAGCTCGACTGAACCATGACCAATACCTCGGAATGAAATAGGTCGATCGACTCAAAGACAAGTCAGGGTCAGAAACACACCAAGAGGTATGGGGTTGATCGAGCTGCTTAGCTTGGTTATACGTAGAGGTAGAGATGGCAATGGGCCAGATCGGGTCGGGTACCTGCAGACCCATATGTGGCCCGCGTTTTGGCCCAGTGGACCCGATCTGCCCCGCGAACCGCGACGGGTTCAACAGGTCGGGCCCGTGACCTGACCTGTTTCGGGGCGGGTCGACCTGCAACCCGTGCTGACCCGTCTCGACCTGATAGCTACCTACATAATTTTTTATCCCTTTTATTTACCCCTATCATCATCTTAAACATTACATATTGCACAAATAATAATAATAATAATAATAATAATAATAATAATAATAATAATAATAATAATAATAATAATAATAATAAAATTTTAAAAGCTTAAATAGCACTCAATTCGAAATACAACAATCCAATAAATAACTTAATAAGGCTTACAATTCAAAAATAAAATACAAAGATCCAGACATTATATATTATATATAATTTATATAGAAATGAGAAGATGCAGAAATGAGAAAATTTAAAACCTAATTTATAATTTCACGTATATATTGTATATAATTTATGTAAAAATAAATAAATAAGATCGGAGCGGGTATAAAGGACCCGGACCTGCCCCGCTTAGTTAACAGGTCGGGCCAGGCTCGACCCGTTTTAGAAACGGACAAGTTTAGACTGCCCCAAATGCTCCAGGTCGGGTCAGTTGGGGTCCAGGTCATTTAGCCATCCCTACTTAGAGGGACCTATGTGACCAGGAGAAGTTGGGGATTATATTATATAGGTTGGCTAAACCGGGG